GAAGTTGTAAAGAAGACAATAATAAAGACAGAAGATGCTAATTATGTGCCATAGGTCCCTTTGATCAGGAAGCGAAGATGGCCTAACATACTTTTGTCTTTACTGGTTCTATTATTTAGCTTGTTTTGAAGTACAGAGAGAGGGGTAGGTGAGACAGTGAACTTCGTAGAAAGCTAGAAATAGCAGAATATGTTAAAATAGCCTCTGAAGCAGATGAAAACAGCCAAATCACATGAAGGTTCAAGAATTTGACATGTTAAGGTACTCCTTTTGTCTTTTAGGGAGAATGAAAAATTAGACCTGATCCAGAAAAGTGCCCCCACTTCCGCAGTCAATGTACAATGGCTGGTAACTAATGTTGTCCACTAATTTATACACGGGATTAAGGCTTTATTAGATTGGAAAAAAGTCAAATGCCAAAAAGCTGCATATGCTACTAACAAGACACTATCATAAATACTTACCAGAAAGAAAAAAAAAAAAAAAAAAAAAAAAAGACATTAGCATAAAGGTTAACAATGGTAAGGCCAAGATCAGTTGACTAACTAGGAGTTAGAACTTTCTAGATGTCCCAAATGGAAGAGCAGTACTAAGAACCACATTAAATTTTCAAAAAGAAAAGCTTACATCGACTGAATAAAAACTGAAGATTAGAGTCTCAAGTCATTAGCCAGGTCCAAAAGAACAAAGAGGTTGAAGCTACAAATCACCAACAGTGACAATCGAAAAACAAATACTTCTTGTTTATATTCACACAATTAAATCTATTTGCCAAGAGCTAGATTGTACACAAGGTTCAATTATATTGTACTAGTAATTATAACCCATGGAAAGCATAATGTTCAGGGTAAATTTGTAAAACTCGGAAAATTTTGAATTTTTATGAAAAATGGCAAAACAATAATTAACCGCAATGGTACAGGTTGAAACCCGAATTTTTCTAGAACTCGGATAATGAAATGGACCTCGCCGTTGAATTCGTCTCGCGAGATCTAGTTACCCGGTCAATTTTCATTGAATTCCGAGACAGGCAAATTTTTGCATTTTACGAGACGATTGAGTGTCGCATAACCAAGCGAACGAGAATTTATTTACGAAACATGTAAAATAAATTTACAGTAAGTTCAAAAAAAAATATATTGAACTTAAAACGGGACGAGATTTAATTCGGAAAAAAATTAGATCAGGAAAGGCGGACGTGTGGCACAACGAAAGCCAAGTATATAGGTAGTATAAAAAGGGAAAAAATCAGATTTTTTCCCCATTTATCAGCCTTGAAATTCCGAAAAAGGGAGGGGGGTGGGGGGAGGAAAGAGAAGGAAAAGAAAGGATTCTTCAACCTTCTTTCTAAGATCTACGACTCTCCGCTCATCGAATCACATTGGGCCAAAAACAAAAATTGTTCTACGCAATGTGGGCTACAAAATCATACCAAAAATCGGAAATTTTGACGAGATCCCCAAGACGGAATTTTTGAAAATCAAAGCTTGAAGCTTGATTTGGGTTCTTGGGAATTTTCTACTACGTGTATTATGCTTCAAGAGGTAAGATTTTTCTCCTACCTAGGTTTATTTTCAACCTGGGATTTCATATGAAATGGGTAGTATGACTTGAGATAGAATCTTTTGTCTAAATGTATTTCTAGTGTAACTAGAGTATGAGAAATGTATAAGAAATAAAACCAATTTTTGTATGAATTGGATTTTGAGTTAAATTCCTTGTTTTGGTTATTTCATGAGATATGTATTGATTGGGCATGATTATGCGTTACATAATTATGTGCTATAAAAATGTTTGATAAAATTCCTAAATTGATTTAGCATGGTTGTTTCGTTGAAAATATTATAACATACTTGGTGAGAATATAGATTGTAATTTAAATGTACATGATATAAATTGACAATTGAGAATATTATTGAGATGGAATGTTGTTCATATTGTACTCATGACATGTTGAACATGATGTTGATATTGCAATTGAAAACTTGGTTACATAATGATATGAAATGCAATTATTCATCACATTGCATATGCACGAGAAGCATCACATTCATGGACATGTAACATGGGAGTGGGTGTGTGCATAATTATTGATCAAACACCATTCTTGGTAGATAATGCGTGGACTCGAGAAAGTTATACCAAGATTTGACTAAGTCACACGGGTTTACATTGAAAATAGGGTTGCGGTTAGCAAAAAAGACTAAATTGTCTCTCGGGTGCAAGACTCAGTGAGTTATACGCACTCTGTTGGTATCGAGCCCATAAAGTGTGTTAGCGTATACGGAGCCATTGGTGGAAGTCCATAAATATTGTGTCAGTTGAGTGCCTGTTGGTGGAAGTCCATAAATACCTACCACAAGAAAGACCTGGAATTTATAATGGTCATTAAATGTGCAACATTAATAGCGGGGGCTTGGAATGTCCGGATACACACGCATGACATTACATGTGTTATGGGAGCCGATGAAAGCTCGGGTTACATTGCATATGTGAGTATCATCTCATAACATAGCATGGCATAGAGAATTTCATTATGAATTGCATATTCTTAAATGGATTGTTTGTTGATTGTTGCACGGCATATGAACATTTCATATTATCTAGATTAGGGAGTAACCTCTTTAGGAGATACCCTATTGAGTGTGGGTCACCCTTTATGAGGACAACATTTCAGGTGCGAGACAAGAGCCAGTGGATGGCTCTCACTTGGACCCTCACGGATGAAAAAAGTCAAGTTGTGGCTTTAAATTACATATGTGTAAATCAAGTGTATAATTATTTTTGAACATGTAATATTGTGCAAAGGATTGTAAAACGAACTCATATGAACTATATTTCGTGTAAAATTTAATGTTATATGAATTTGGATGGATGTTGTGTGAGATTGAATGATTAGGAATTGAAAAAAGATTGAATCGAAGACAAACTGGACACTTCTACATGTAGAAAATTGGTTATCTACCGGTAAAAGAATTCCAGTAAGCACTTTTATCGGTAGAACGTTGAGTATCTACTGGTAGAAGAATTTTAGTGGGCACTTCTACCGATAGAACATCAATTATCTACCAGTAGGTCCTTGAGTCTCAGAGCCTTGAGTCCTTTTGCTCAGAGGATGTAAATTGAGTAATAATAAGGACAAATTGACGTATATTGGGCCTTGGAATGGTCGATTAATTGAAATGTACACAAGTTATGCGTTTGGGAGTGCTCGTTCCAAGGGAGACTTTGCCCAAATTCTGTGTTGTTCATGATCCCAGTGATGGGAATGTTATGGTGTGGTATCGAATTATGAGACATTCACGGGTACTTCTGCGAGTTGATGGGTGATCAACGGATTGACAAAGGACCCCTGGTTTTAGGAGTGTCACAAAATTGCACTATTAGTCCCAGAGGTTTGCCACTTATCGCATTTTGGTCCTTAAAGTTTCAATTTCATCAATTTAGTCCCTAAAGTTCAAATATCGTGCCTAAGTAGTCATTGCCACTAACTACCATTCAAAATATGGATGAAAAATCCAATGTGCCTATCACGTGCGGCCCTTGAGGGGCATTTTTAGTATTTTGTAATAATCTGTGCATCCAAACAACATTATCCTTTATTTGAGCAATATTAGACATGAATCCAAACATGGGTCTTCTTCCTCCTTTCTTTTTTCCTTTTCTCTCACACCCCCAAACAAAACGTCTCCATCTCTCTGCTCAACCATCTCCCTTAAACCCAACAAGACATCTCTCTCTCTCCATCGTCTCTTTCCCTTTACCCAACATAGCCAACCTCATTCCCAACATAGCCAGCCTCATCCCCTCTCTCTCTCTCACTCACACAAACCCTAACACACAAAGATTATTGTCTCTGCATCTCTCCTCCTCCCTCCCTTTTCTCCCTCCCTTTAGTTAGCTCTCAAATTTTGTCCTTCTGTGTGTAATCCTTCTTTGTGTCCAATTTCCTCTCTCCGCACATACCTCCCTATAACCTAACATAGCCACCTATCTCCCTCAAAAACTTAGCGCACACACAATGCATCCCAATCAAGGCAGTACAAAGGCTTGTGTTTGAGCTAAATACATAGCTTGATTTTCCAGAACGACTGTGGACAATCAAACTCCAATTTTCTACACCATCCCAAAATTGCTCACCAGTCGAACTGATTGTCACATTCCTAAAGGTCAATTGATGAAAAATTACGTCTGAAGTGGGTAATCGATTGTGATTGTTAATTGCTCTCTAACTAACTCTCTTTCTTGAATTCTATGCTTCTTTCTCTAAATTTTTTTGTAGGTAATTGAGAATTAGAATTTGTAGCCTCTTGATGTAGGTGTCAATGATGGGTTGTAGGTGGTGTAGGTGGTGGTGGGCTTACAAGTTTCAAAGAAAAAATATGGGGAAGGAGAAGTGGTTATTTACGGACTACAGCTAGCTAACTGTCTTGGCTTGGGATGGAGGTGGAAGAGAATGGATTTTGGGTAGTGGAAGGGTAACGGTGGTGGCAGCCGATGGGTGGAATAGTGGATTCAAGGGCAAATATAGGGTGAGGACTTGCGTTTCCAGTTGGGGATCTGTGAGAAAAATAGGAGAAATAGAACTTATTTTTTCATTTTCTATTTTACCCCTTGCCGCATTTGTAAAATATCAAAAATACCCCTAAACAGATGCACGTGATAGGCACATGGCATTTTCCGTCCATATTTTGAACTGTAGTTAGTGACAAAGACTACTTAGAGGCAATATTTGAACTTTAGGGACTAAATTGACGAAATTAAAACTTTAAGGACCAAAGTGCGATAAGTGATAACCTCTGGGACTATTCGTGCAATTTACCCTAATGTTCAGGGGATGGAAAGAATATAAAAGTTTAGCAGAACAAAAGCAGCCAACAAGTTTGGATACAGATGATCAACAAGCTTATATGAGGAAGGCAATTAAGCTCATCAGAAAATTCAGTTATAATAATGGCAGGAAGTACTCGAGCATTAGCCACTGTAAAAAATAAAAGTAGCTATAAAGGAGGGGGGAGGGGAGGAGGAAAGGCATCAAATTTCAAACAATCAAAATTGAAAGTCAAAAACATATAAAAGAATACCTTGGCAGGAAATGTGCCAGGAGGTAGCTTAGTAGTTAAGAGCTCCCTCAGTCTCCTAATAGCTTTTACCTTGTTGGCTAAAATGTCAAGTAAAGGCAAGAGTTCTTCCGTTTTCAAAGGAAAATCTGGTGTCAACCACAAAACAGGTCTTAAGCCTTTTTTATACTCACTTTCATGCTTAGACTCACTTATGGCCCCTTTTTTCTTTTTCTTCTTGCTGCTTTTATCTTTGCACTTTTTAAGATCCCCCATATCCTCCCTGGGAAATTCGGATGAGGATCTTTGACTATCATTGTGTCTCTGGTTGCTCCCCTCAGGAGCCAACTTTGAGAATTTCTTAAGAATCTTTGAATCCTCAGGATCATCACCTTCTTTCTTTGAACCTTTCTTATTCCAACCAAACCAACTCTTCTTCTCCTTCATAACACCATTAGATTCACAGCTTTCAAATGAAGCCCCATCACCATTTTCATGGGAATCCTGAACCTCAGGTTCCTCATCCTCACAATGGCCATCTGAATTCCCCATGCGAAACGCAGAATCTAACTGCATTCTCTCCTCCGATGTTAATACATCATCATACTCATCCTGTTCACCCCCATTAACAATCCTTTCATCATCATTCACTGAAAAAAGCTCTTCATCAGTCATAGCACCAGGAACCCGCCTTGACTTCACACTCACCATAACATGAAGCATATCATAAACCTTGGCCTTCCAGGGTCCAACCATCTCAGTCCTCTCCTGCCGCCTCCAATTTAAATGGGGAAGAAGCTCAGCCTCAGTCACATCGATTCCCGGCCTATACATATTAGTTTGAGACATCATAGCCACTTCATGGGCCACTTCGGCTTCTGATGGTTGAGCACCAGCTCCCTCCAAAGCATTAGTGATCTCTTTCTCCTTATGAGAAAGCACAATCAAAGCACCAGGAGGTAAAGATATATTCCCATCTTCCGATGTGTATCCCTCTCCAAGAAAGAGAAAAGTTTGATCTGATCGCTGAATGCGGAACCCATCAAAACCTGCAAGGGTCATATCAGCACGGAGATTGGACCCACGTTTCCAAATCCTGTATGTATCCGAAGGGGCAATCCGACCAATAAATGGAATCACTGAGCTCTCAAAATGAAAAGTTATCTCCATGTAAAAATCACGAATTCGAGCAGCAGAGGCAACAATTCGAGGAAGCCGACGGCACCATTTAGCCCAAGCAAGGGGCTGGTAGTGCCGGGCAATGATCATAGCAATATTTTCTTCTCGAGTACAAACTGCCTCTTGGAGAGCACTCCATCCATGCTCATTCTGAAGACTCCAATCCGCCCCTGCCGCCATCAAAATCTCGGCAGAGATTGGATCCCTGAGGCGCACTGCAAGGTGCAGAGGGGTTTCCCGGCCAGGAACATCCCGCCGATCAATTACTCCTGACACAGCATCAGCCTGGAGCTCAGTGGCGACAGACTCCTCCTCTGTATTGACCTCACCAGCCTTGGCCAGCCGGGGGAGGGCAGATATAATCCGTTTGAGGGCAGCGTAGTCACGGCGTGCAACTGCCAAGTGAGCAGGACTATGGGCATATTTAGACCAATCTTCCATTGATTTGTTCTTTTTCTTCCTAAAACTTCAACTAAGATATAGTTTTCCCATTCTTCTATTGAAATTCTTTCTCCAAGGCGCATGCACCGAAGAAGTTAATCGAATATTCTATCTCCTTCCAATGAGGTTCAATCAATCTTTTAGGGGTTTATGCGGAAACCCAGAAAAGCATAGGGATTTTAGCTTTGCCACTAATAAATTCACCATGAAATTCAGCTTCATTAAAAGAAATACACTTCAGCATTCCAAATTAATCGCTCTTAAAGCTCAAATCTACTCCCGTGCAGTATTCTGAGAGTATCACAGAGCTCAAATCTGAAATAAAACATAAAAAAACTACTGGCATTAAATTACCAGCACAGATCCATCTTCTCCTCTGCTTAAGCTAAAATTGAAGTATCAAAAGAACATAAAAACAGTTTTCTTAGTTGTACAAGATTCAATTTTCATATCAGAGCTAAAGCATACACATACACTGAACATATCGATTATACACATTAATATACAAATGGAACTTTTTGCTGATTTGTAATACTAAAAATTTAGTCGCATGCTTAGTGTCTACAAAATTTTATAACTGTCAAAAAATTAAAAAAAAAACCGAAGAAACGTACCTGAAAAGTGAATCAATAAAAAACTTTTTAAGCTACAGCTCTAGAGAGAGAGAGAGTTGAATCGGTCTCTTTGCGAGTGCTTATACACAGATCGCCTTCTTCTTCAGTTGAGAGTCTCAGCTCAGATCTTGCTCTGTCTACAGTGTTTCTATGGTTAGCTCAGGTGGTCTCTTCTCATCTCATCTCATCTCATCTACAACTGTTGCGTTGCAGCTTGAAAGACAGAAAGAGAGAGTTGCCCTCCAATTTTGGCAAATATTACAAATCTGCCCCATAAAAAGGGGCAGTCCACGCACGATGCTGTCGATTTCAATTTGGGTAAATTGTAATGACAGAAACTTCATAATTTCTCGGATAAATTGCACCTTTGGTCCCTTAGGTTTAACATTTATTACACTTTCATTCCTGATATTCTAATTTTAGCAATTTCGTCTTCCTTGTTGTAACATTGACTAACTTTCATCATTATCCCTAATTGTCGTCTAAAATAATGACTGAAAATGGCATGTAAGTGACATGTGATAGAACAAGAAGGATAATATAGTCATTTAATGGTCCTTCTAACCTCTTCGGTTGTCTGAGGGTGTTTTTGTTTGTTGATCCTACCTAGGGTTCACTATTCGATTTGGGGATTTCATCTTCTTATTTTGGTGCTGTTTAAATCAAGAATAGTTTCTCAACTAAGTAGGGTTTTAGATTCTCCTATAATGGTTAACTGGTTCAATTATCAATTCCACTTGTAGAAGCAACAAAGTCATTTGTGCATTACAAAGGAACCACATAAATGCGAAAATGACTAGGTACATCAAATATTCAAATATCAATCTATTTAACAATTTATATCACATTATACACAATACATTCAATCAAATTGTGAAGGTTGACACAACACAAGGAGATGATTTTCTGTTCTTCCTGTTCTTCTGCTTGTACATTAACTTATTTTGTTATGTTAAAAAACAAATGGGTTAGTGAGAGAAACAAATATAACTACCAAATTAAAGAATGCAAACCCAGATAAGAACTTCGTCATCTTCAGCTCTTCCAAGCATAAACCAGCAAAGAAAACCCAGAAGGACCCTTCAATTCATTCTCTTCCATGCTCGCCTACTCCATCACAAAACTACAGCTCGAAGAGGCCGAAGACAACAATGATGAAGTTGAGCTTCCAGCTGATCTCAGTAACCCCTTCTTCATCTTCTTGGTCTCAAATTCAAACCCACAAACTTAACCCATTCCTATCATGCAAATGGGTAAAGTACTCATCTTCAAATTCTGATTTCTCAAATCCGAACATGAACAGAGAGCATACCCATCTTCACCATCTTCACACAACCAGTTGTATACGTCCCATGAGACTTGAATTTGAACCCCATCAACTTCAATTCTCTCATTTCCTCTGAATTTTCATTTCAAATGCTTAAATTGTAATACCATTTTGTTATCAACATAGAAACATAGTCTTGGATCATCCCTATGTATGCAACCGATAGATATCTCTCCCTCTTCCCCAGCAATGTTGGACTTTGTAGTGTACAGTTTGATTCCATACATGTGTTTTTTTCCTAGAATATTTGAATATTGATATTGGATGTGAGTTTGTTGATATTGAGCTTTTTCGAGCCGTGTGTTGTTCCAAAAAATGAAGGGCTTTGATGCAAAGTTGGAAGGAGGGTGTGGACAGAGAAGGGAAAGAGAGGCTGTCGTCGTAGTCATAGTCGGAGGCGCCGGTGGAGGAGTGGTTGAGAAGGAGGTGGAGATAGAGGGAGCGGTCGAAGAGATTGCGGGACCATGTGAGGGCAAATATGCCTAAGTCAGTGTGGTATAGAGAGGTGGTGAGGTTGGGATTGCTGGAGAGGCATGGTGGCGATGAGGTGGTGTGGTGGTTTGTGGCGGCAGAGGAGGTGTTGGTGGTGGGGCGGAAGCAAGAGGGTAAAGGGGAAGAGGTTAGATGGGTCGGAAGGAGTATTAAATGACTATATTGTACTTTTTGTTTCATCAAATGTGGCTCACGTGTTATTTTCCGTCATTATTTTAGACAGCAATTATGAGAAAGGATGAAAGCCGGTTAATGTTATAACATGGAGAATGAAATTACCAAAATTAAAATATTGGGGATAAAAGTATAATAAATGTTAAACTTAAGGGATTAACGGTATAACTTACCCTAATTTCTACGAATAAAAGGTACCCTCAGCCTCTGTTTCTAAAATTACAATATATTCGCATATAGCTCGGACACGTATTTGACTTGTATCCCTTGTTCTTAACTTGGAAGGATCATCAAACTTTCTCCTGCACACATGTCTCTTTTAGCTCTTATCAAATAATAAAATGAAACAAAATATAATATAATATTATATTATATTATTTGTCTAAAATTACCCAAATATAAACTAATATTTGACTAATCCCACCCTTCACCCCCAATCACTACCCTTTGCAATTCTCTCCACATATCCCCAACAAAAACTCACCACTATATTGCTATAAACCTCCACCTACCTAAATGGTGGTTGCGGTTGGGGTGGTGTTGGGGTGTGGGTTGGATCAAATGAGATGGATACACGTGGAGTTTTTGAAATTAAGATAACTAATATGCTATAGTTGACTAACAACAGTCTCTATTACTGCAGTCAAGATCTATTTCAATTCACCCACCCACCCACACCAAGCACAAAAGTCACTTCTATATTGTTGTAATCCCACACCCACCCAAAACGGTGGATTTTCAACTGCGTGGTGTTGAGTCAACCTGTTGTTCAGAGGTGGTGTTCTTCTATCTTAGCGCTTAAGATAGATCAGATAATGGGTGGGTTTGGTGTTTTCATAAAGAGGTGTCATATAATTTGAAAAACTCTAGTGTATTACTTTGAAATTATCAAAACAATAAGGAACAGTATTGTAATTTATCCTTTTTAATGTTTGGCAAGTTTTATTCGATTTAACTATCAACCGTAAATATCCTAGATCGCACTGAGTATTACTGGGACCCAAAAGAACGCACCTTTTGAACCCAGTACAATTAACTAAGGTACAATTCAGGTCAATTGGGTGGGTTGAGGGGTTAAATTTAGTCCAATTTTAAGTATATATTCTTTAATATTAACTCTAACTCTATCTCAACCTCAACCTGAGTACTACCCAAGTTTAATTCGGGTGAGCTTGGTTTGAATTTGAATTACTTAATTCAGATTGATTTCGGGTTAAAATCGAATTGTGCTTGAGTTAATTAATTCAAATTGATTTTTTCAAGTGTAGATCTAATTTTTTCAAGTGATCTGTTATGAAAGGCAAGACGTAGATGAAGAGAAAGGGAGTGAGAGAGGGAAAAGTGATAAGTGAGGGAGGGAGGCTAAAAGTCTAAGACGACTCAGACGAGTGAGGATTGAGAGAGGGAGGAGTGACGAGTGAGAGAGGAATCTGAGAGTGATGCAAGAGTGAAGATTTGAAGTGAAGTAAAAGTTTGGACTCTAAAGAATGAAAATAAATATTAACCTTAGTTAAACATATTTATATATTTATATATATTCGGGTTCAACCCGATTTGATTTAATAGTCGGGTCAACCCGATTTGAATATTCGGGTTGAACTCAACAACCCAATGTTTACCCAAATTCAATTCGGATTGGAGTTTTTTTGCTCAAACCCAACTCAAGTATTAAAAATTCTAACCAAAACTTTTTTTTTTTCGAGTTGAATTCGAGTTGGTCTACCCAAATTGCATCCCTACATTTAACAGTCATACAGAGTTTTAAATCATAATCAATATTGTAATTGAGAGATTTAAAATTCGAGTGAGTGACAACATTGGACAAAATACGATAATTGTCTCTAAGTCTAAGGTAAGACTTCATCTTTCTTTAGTCCCAACCTCGCAAATAATTTCAATTTTTTCCATAAAATTTTTGGTACGTATTTAAATTAGTAACGAAAAATATCACGGATACATTACTGTTCCTTAAAGTATGCATGAAAAATAATTTTAACCACCATAACTACTAATTTTGCTAACTATTTGCTTATTCTAATTTGAGTTTAGTAATTTTTAAAACACTTAAGAAAAAGTATCACACACTCCTTACAAAAAAAAAGTCATTGTGCACCTCACAAAAATATCATGTGCATTTTAGAAATCTATATAATAAAGTACAATACAATTCAAATCTCAAAAAATAAACAAAATAATTTTTATTTTTTACAGTTGAAATCTTTATAAATTTTACTTTAAAATTAATCCGACGGCTAATATTAAAACCCCGAATTTAATAAGAAGAATATGTCTTTAAGAGTGTGTTTGATGTGACTTTTTAAAAGTATTTCTAGAACTTATAACTTCTCATAAGTACTTTAAAAAAAAATTAGTGTTTAGACCCACCTCATCACTACCACTACTATCACCACCCCACCAGCATCACCACTACAACCAACGTCACCGCCACCTCACCACCACAAATACCCCCATCACCACCACCAACAGCTAGCCCCACCACCATCACCACTACCACCACTGTCGTCACCCCACCATTATCTCTACTATAACAACCACTCCCACCCCTCATTGTTTTTGCCATCCTACCACCATCACCATCACCACCCCCCACCATCATCACCACTACCACCAAAGCCACCACTCTCCACCCCACCCACCACCTCTGCCACAACAACAACAACCACAGCCGCCGTTGCTGCCACCGCCACTGTTGCCACCCCCACTACATCCATTGCCCTACCACCACCATCACCACTACCTTCACCCCCACTGCCCCACCACCATCCATCCCCCACTACCACCACCACCATTGCTACCGTCACCCGTACCATTACCACCGTTGTCCCACCATCACTCTTACCACCATTCGCCACACCCATCCCCATCGCTATTCATCACCGATTGTTACCATTGTCGTCCACCGCCACCGCCACTATCATCGTCATCTCATTCTTATATTTATTACCATTACCATCATCATCCCATTACGACCGTCGCCCAACGTCAGCACCCACCACCATCATTGTTGCCCACCATCACCTACTCTCACCATCACTTGTCATCACCCACCACTGCCACCACCCACTGTCAACCACCCCCACCACACCTACAACCATCGTCCTTTGCCACCACTGTCATTCGCTACCACCCATCACACTATCGTCCAGAAAGAATCCCTCATCACCCAACACCACCATTGTCATCGCTCACCACCCCAACACACCATTGCCACCACCATCACCATCGCCCACTACCACCATCGTCACTCATGATTATCACTACTACCATCGTTACCCAAAATCTATTATCACCATCACTGTTGCCACTCACCACAACCATTATCGTCTCTCACTACCACCATTACCACCCACCATCATTACCACTGCTCACCTTCACTACAACCGATGTTTAAATTCATTTCTTTCTCCTTTATATTTGTGATTTAATTTTGGGTGTGAATACAAATATGTTTATTGTTAACTATTTTTTTTATTACTTCGTACCTTCAGGTATATGCAATAACTAATTAAATGATAAAGCTTATAATTAAGGAACATAAAGTGACATTTATCAGATACTCTGATGATTAAAAGCGTGTTTAGTCGAATAACACAAGACATTTTCTATTATCAATTTAAATGCTTGTCATCAATTAGGCTATTTAAACTCGGGTTAAGAACTTCAAAAACTAAAAAGTGGTCTAGTTGTAAGATTAAGGATAGGAATGAAAGGAAACATATATTTGGGACTAATAATATCTTTGCCCTATTTCTTAACATATATAAGATTTAAAATATCGAAAAAAAGCTGAATATTTAATAATATATTTCCCCCTTCTTGAATTTGTTATCGAAATTTAGAAGTTTAAGTGTGACAAAAATGAGAATATTAAAATTGATGTGTAGTAAAACTAAGAATAATAGAATTAGAAACAATTACATACATGAGAAAGAGAGGTAAGGAGAATTGACTTAGGTGACTTGGATATAGTTATAGGTGGTAGGTGGTCTACTGGATTTCTAGTGAAAAGAGTTATATGATAGTTATTGACGATTAGTGCAAGGGTAGAGAAAAACTCAATTTTTTTTTTTTTGAGCAGCAGAAAATCTCAAATTAACTTTAAACAAAATTGTAAAGAATGATATGGTGACTTGTGGCTTAACAAATTCATGAACTTTAATAGATCACAATGACTAAATATGATTTTTGTAATATTGAGATAAGACTATGTTGATTTGACATGAATTGTAATCACACAGACACAAGCTAGGTTGCTAGAATCATTTACAATATAACTGTTTTTTGAGCTTTATTTTATTTTATTATGAGTTTTAACTTGTTTTCCAATTTACTAATGTTTGTATGAAAATTGTGGTTTAAACTCATATTTTTTATTGTGAAGAGTATTTTACGAAATACGTTTCAATATAAAGTTGTGTTTTACAAATACACTTTACATTGAAAATCATTTATAATATAAAATATAGTAGATTTTAATAAACTTATTTGACGGTTTTAAATGGACTCATCAATGGCCACAAACATCCTTCTTAAAACTATTCATATTACATCATGTTTTTCGACACGAATTACTCCTAGTGCTTTTATAAAATTACAAAAAAAAGGTAATTGACAAATTAATTAGAAAACAATGCAAAAGGGCAGTATAATTGTCCGAAATTTGAAGTTGCTATTAGTGGGGGCAAAAACACACTTGAGTCACTTGAGTAGACGCCAAATGGGGGCAGAGAAAAGGAAAATGTATAGACAAGTGGTTACATCACTCACCCATGGTGGAGCCACCTACCTCTCACATGAAA